ATGGTGTCCCGGATGGTATTTATCCACGCGTGTGACAATCCGTGGCAGCGGACACTGGTAGTTCAATCCATTCTCTTCCTCAGTGGCCGAATACTAGAGATCCAAGAACTACTCTCATGTCCTAACAAACTGAGTCGAGGCAGGTTTCAAGCTGACCCCCCACTTCGACGTCTCGAATTGTTTAACGGTTTTGGGTCGAGGGTAATAACACGAAAAACGTGTCCAAGCGCCTCAGTCGTCTTTCTTGGGTGTTCTGGGATACCCTTGTGCTGTTGTCTCAGCGAGTGCAGACTGTTCCATTCGAGGCCAATCTGGTGTACTTACCTCGAACGATGGCCCTCGAGCAGTAGTGCTCATAGACTTCCAGTTTCCGTTCCTCTTCCATGCGCATAGCCCAGCATTCGCATCCCTGTAGAACAGAGGTTGTGAACATTTTTCATTAAGAGAGCGAAAAAAGAAAATATTTGGAAATATATTTCAGTGAGAGCCGTACAATGTGTTTTAAGATTAAATTCAATTAAATGTGAGTATCGATAAAGAAGCAGACGTGCACAACACCGGATCCGTGGTGGGCATTGAACTCATCTAACACCAAGCTGTCTCCAGAAGGTAAGTAGGGACCAATGGAGGCGGTGAAACCAGGAGGGCAACTAGAGATTGGAGGGATGTCATTAAAAGAGCCATATCTGACTCGCGAGCCATACGTTCCCAATCCCTGCTATAGAAGAACAGGCCGTACAGATACCCGGTAAACGCAGACATTTGTGGAAATAGAAAGATAGTGTTGGGTCCATAGGAATTTTCGACGGCTGGAGAAAACTCGTCGAGCTGCGTCCATTCGGGAGACATCATTCTTACTCTGTCCATTCGGCGGCAACCTCGCTCCGGGGTATTTGAAACTGTCTACTTCTTCCATTTGATATCTATTAATCTCGAGAAGTTCCTTCACTTGGGCAGGGATGCAGCAATAAAACACTTTAGTCTTCCCAGTGTTTATGGACAAACCGACCGATTTAGCGACCTCGTTCACCTGTGACACCATAAACTGTAGATCACCAAAGCTTGAAGCTACTAAAGCGGTATCATCGGTATAGTCGAGATCAGTCAACTGGCGTCCGGATTCAAGCTCAACACCGCCTTCTTCGCGTAGAGCCTTCCTGAGAATCCAGTCAATGGCATAGTTAAATAGAACAGGCGACAGGACACAGTCTTGTAGAACGTCTATTTGGTTGACTTTGCCGCTGCCTTCTATTCCGTCCATCGTGAATCCTTATGGCGGATCAGACGCGTAATTCGAATCTTAATCGCCCAAACTTAGGAGGATTTGTAGTAACTTAAATGAGGCTCACTGTGTTGGATTTTTGCACATATTTACATTCGCCATCATTAGGGTGTCCACCGTTGGCGGATATTAAAATGGCCTTCAGCGAGAGCCGGTTGTGACCGCAACTCACCTATGCATTTCAGCTAGATCATCTCTAGCTGGTGAACTAAAGCGGACAGCCTTGAACAAGCAGTCTGCACTGTGTGTCGTAAATTCACAAGAAATGTCATTAAAATTAGTGTCTGCGTCTTGTATTATGGGCGGTTCTGAAACCACAGAGCTCCTCAGCCCTGGTCCCTGTTAAGTAATTTACGCGTTTAACCATTCAATCAGGATCTTATTCTTAGTATTGAATGCCAGGCTATGCAAAAGTTCTTTGACGTGTAGCATGGTTGTTTACGGCTTGGCACAACCCCAAACTCAGACTCCCAGGAAATTCAGATCCCGGGCGCTAACTATCCGTCTGTCTTATTGTCTCCTCCCTCACGTTTCTTCTGTAAGACGCTGTGTGGAGATTGCCTTTGCGGAACGGTCAAAACAAGCGATGATTGTGTATGGATCGGTTAATGGCTCGTTAGCTTACGTACGACTCAAGGGGCACCTAGCCAACCTATATGCCCGTTTTGTGTGCGCGCGAACATCAACTGCCAGCCAACATCATAAGGGGCCCTACGAGCAGCTGTAAGGATTAGTTGAATAATCCATCATCTACTACTTATTTCTGAGGATTGGAATGATCAGGTTGTGCCAGTCTACTTTAGAAGCAACCACAATGACTGGATCAGAGGAAGATTCTCAGTTTTCTCCACTTTCACAATTCGGGCCAGGTCCTGCAACAAGGGTTCCCCTCATCAGCTCCGAATAATGATGACAAAGTCACCTAGGGATGACCGCAAATCACTTTTTTAAGAATTGATTGCCTCCATGAAGCAGGCGCCGACCGTCGATAGCACTCGTGAATTCTACCAAATTGTTCAGTTAATGGTGGCTTTATTGGTAGATAGCATTGCCGGCGAAGACAAGGGAGACTGAAATGGCCGTTTCTGGCTCATTAGCCGTCGTCAGCCAGTAATACCCAACCCCAAGTGGTGCACCGCCCAAAACTAAAACTCGCGACCTTCTGATCAGGAGTCTAACGCTCTAACTATTGCGCCACGAGCTCATTGTCTTCCTCTTTTAGATCGAGAGATATTGACACTCGTTGATGAATGTTCACCGATAGCTAACGGAACTCGCTCGTCTTGCTCTGCCTTGAGGCTCATTCTCGAGCACCACCAGCAGCTGCACAGTGGCTAGTAGTCAATGGTTAGAGCGTTCGACTTCTGTTCAAAAGATCGCGTGTTCGAGTCTCGGGTGGTGCACAACTTGGGGTTGGCTGACGATGGCTAATGAGCCAGAAGTGGCCATTCCAGTCTCCCTTGTCTTTGCCAGCAGTGCTAGCTGCGTAGACTAGTAGCCGTTGTGCGGCTGCTGGCGGGGCTCGCGAATGAGCCCCAAAGCAGAGTGGGTCGAGTGAGTTCCGTCAGCGATCTGTGAATGTTCATCGTCGGGTGGCCTTATTGTTGCAAACTCGATGTAAGCATAGCCCTGACTCAAGAGCTTTTAGCAGGTCCCTACCTTTGATACCGAACAGATCTCCTCTCTTAGATATGGGGTTTTATTCCTCTATATTGTGCGGTGTCGGATTACCCTCCTTCCGAAATGGAAGTCACTGATGCGGTGCTGAGACCGCGTAATAACTGAAGCCTTGAAATCGTTTGTCCACGCTGACATCCCGACTTTATGAAGTGGCTGAGCAAGTATACGGATATTAGGTCCCTTCTGGTGACCGACGTTTGGACAACTTTCATGCTTGTTTTAGACGGAGGCAGTATTAGTCCTGTCGACCTTGTTGAGTAGGTCTTTGATTCCCCTATCCCTCGATGGATTCATTGTAAGCGAGACAAGACCGGACCAAACCGAGATTTGATATCTGCGTGAGAGCATCGAGCAATCTTTCACCAAAGAGTGCATTTCTTCTTACCGTTCGCTTTGTGACCTGTGGGCAGACACGATCGCCACGATAAAGGTTTGCCGTCACCTCACCGCTCGGTATCCAGTCTGGCGTTCAAACTCTTTGCATTCCACTTGACTTCCTATTTAACTGTACAGTTTACTATATTAAATAAATAAATTGTATATTTAAGGCCCAAGGGGCCCTTTCATTACATAGTAGTTCAAAGTAATTTTTGTGATTTCGATATTGCAAGTGGACGGCTTTGTCACTGCCACCGTGCTATTTTCGGCCTGCTTTAACCTAATGAATATAACCTCTCGAATGAACGAGGTTGCTAAATTGATCACTTTGTCCGCTAACGCTGCGAAGACTTGCATTTTCAGAGTCGCGATTCCGTTCAGTAAAACTTACCCTCATATATGTCAGCTCTAACAATTTTGAATACCTTTGCCACTACAGTTTACGTTTTCTGGCCATCTGGTCAGTCGAACCTTTATCTTATGATTGCTGAAAACTTGGAATTTTGCGACAAGCATTGCCTGACAGAACTCCTTTCAGTGAAGTACACCACCTACGCCTTGGGTCACGCCGTACGCACCCGCTATGACAACAGCACTATGATTTATCACACCCTTAGTGGGAGACGGTCAATATGCTTGGCGCAGTTCCTCTGCTGCTGCTGTCATGAAGCCGACACCGCTGTCTAGGTGTTTGCGGTGAAGAAATCTGTTAAGAACATTAGCCGGACGCAATTCGTCAAAATAAGGTGGCTGTAATTGTAGGAAGACACTAAGTACAACTATTGAGATCTACCGCCGTCGTTGTCCATCGTCACTCGTAGCAAACTGCATTGAATTAGTTTTTGAGTTGACCCCTGTTTGACGCCTTCAAGTACCAGATTGAGGACAGTAGCACTGAGCTGGTGCGGAGGGGGACGAAGAACGCGCCCAAACTACCTAAGTCGTTTTTCTTGGATAGTCTTGTGATTTTCATTTGAGCTGATATCGGTGTACTTCATTGGAAGGATGGTCCTCAAGCAGTAATAATAAAATACTTCCAATTCTCGCACATATTCCATGTACACCACCCGGCATTCACAACCGTACAGAAGGACAGGCCGGACGGATGCGCGGTGCACACAGATCTTCCTAGCGATGGAGATGTCGTATTGGATCCATGGGCATTGTCGGAGGTTTGAGAAAACCCGACGAGCAACATCTTCGGCAAATTGCTAGACGCAAAAGAGACTGCTGAAGCGTTTGACGCCGTAGAAGTGGATGCCGTCGGAGGGATAGTGCACTGCGTCCGGATATGACCAACCAGGCCGATACACACACACCTCCTTGGATTCGCTTACATTTTAACCTTAACAACTTGACTCATGCCACGGTGGAGCCTGTGGAACCTTACGACGTGTCATAGATTGGACCCGTTTCACCGCTTACCTTCCACCTCTTTTTCAGGAGATGAGTCTGCGGCCAAGCGTCATTCGTCAACTGGCCGAGGTGGAGCAGGGTGGCAGCATAAAATCGAACGTCGTCCCACTCTTTGCCGACGGACTCTCCAGAACTCGACTTACCACCACTGAAGACCAGGTCTTCCTAGAGGATGAAGTCCAGCGTATCGCTTTGTCAGCCTCTGATTCAACCTTCTCTGAGGACTGTCGCCTGATTGCCGCCCAGTTGGTCACTGGCGTAGTGGTGGCTCTTCGTGGCCGAGAGTTGGAGGACAGTCAAGGTCAGGAGCTGTTTCCCTTCCCCTACCTCCTCGTCTCTCCCCCCCCCTCCCCCAGCATGTCTATCTTCTGATCTTTATTCTTCCAACAGGGCTCTTCACCGTCTCAGATGCGCTGTTTTTGGAACCCGGTCCAGAGCATCCAATCACGACAAGTAGCGCTGCTGAGCTGACCTATGCAAATTTCTCCTCTCTGGGACCCTCTGTCGCATTTGTTTCCGGTCTGGGTTTCGTGGGCACCAGTGGAGACATTAGTGAGAGTCATGCCCTGGCCCTCAGTCTACTCGGCGATTGGTTGCGTGGAAATATCATGATCGGCGACACCTTTCCTCCCGTAGTGAAATTGATGATTCTGGGTGACTCGATCAGACCGCTGAGCGTTACGGAAGGCGAGACAGTCGGTCTTATTCAGCAGGTGCGCACTATTTTTTTAATGTTCATTCTACCTACTACATTCACTTTTCAGTTCAACTACCTATGAGCCAGCTTTATCCCACAAAACTTATCATGTTAATGAATTAATTTAAAAAAGTTCGCTTTCCAGGTGTTCCCATGGGTAAAATAGGTTTGTCGAGCACTGGAACAGTTGGTTTATTGTCCCGAGCTTTCAAACTCTTACAGGAGTTCATCGTCAGGCGTAAGAACAGTAATAAAAAGGAGTATTTTTAGCGGCTACACACCAATCAACTGTCAGTGACGCACTTCCGGACGTTACTGCACAGGCACCACTGGCGTCAAATCGATACCTTGATTGATTGAATTCCCATTTGTAGACCAGACCTCAAGCAATTCTCGGCTCGTCTTGTTTCGGGCGCGGACGAGTATCTTGACGGCTGCGAAATTGAGATCATGGCCCGCTTCGTAGGTGTGAGTAGCAACTTAGTATAATACGTCGCCCCGCCGTACAGCCAACTTATGCTCGTGTATGCGCAATCAAAGCATGCATTCAGTTTGACCTGTCTAAGTACAAGGACATTTTAAGCCTGTAACGCGATAAACTACCCCCAGAGTACTCATTGGGATTAAGCCGGTCCTTGATATTCATCACCCTGCTGTTCCGGTGCTCGACAAGCCTTCTCTTTTATCCATTTACTTTTATTGCTACTTTGGTTCTGACTTTATTCCTGTGTGCTACGCACGCTGAATCCTTTAAATGGACTTCTGTAAGATACTTTTTACGGTTGGCGTAGACGCTTGCGCACCCTCCAATTTCCTCTTCCTCCTGCCGCCCTTTTCAGGCTCGTTATCTGACTCGCAAGACGGATGCGGACTCAGTGACTGCCATGCACCTCTTCGACTCCTGGTTGGCCAGCCTTCCTTTGGGCCCAGGTGCTAGCGATGACCCAACGGCGACAGTAGCCCTGAACGGCCTCTCAGTGGACATACTGCCGGGCCCCTCAGACTGTGTGAGTCACCTGCTTCCACAACAGCCGTTGCATGCTGCCATGTTTCCGGAGGCTGTTCGCAGGGCTGGCAGTCCTGGGACCGGAGCCTTGCGTAGCACCACTAACCCTGTGTACACGAATGTTTGCGGCCGGAACATTCTCGCGACGTCGGGGCAGGCGATCACAGATCTTTTGCGGTGGGTTTCTCTAGCTTGTTTTTCGTCGGCTGACTGTGGCCGGTTCTGTGTATAATCGGTTAATTCTTTATTCACCATTGGAACACCAAGAGGGAAGCCGCAGTTTTGCATGGATTTAAGCAATATGCACAGTCGATTCGGTGCGCCTTCTGGATAAAATAGTTCAAAAAATATGTTATTAGCATCTTCTCAGTAGCATGTTTATAGTAGTAAATATTTCATTTGCATAGGATTGTCTATTGACCGATAGTATCTAAAGTAGAGCTGTTCCGTTGTCTGTACATATTTATTCGAGTGATGCGCGCGACAAATGGCATTATTTTATGGGTTGGTTCTTGTACCCCGCAGTGAAACAAGCGCTGCTCGAATCCATTTTACGTTAAGTTAAGATTTTCTGAGCCTCATCGTCTTTGTATGCCTTCCTACAGTCCTCGGTAAATGACTGCGAACTGCTCACCACCCTTGGCCCATTCAAATACTCGGTGAAAGAAATTTCTGCATTCTCCACCGCTGCCCAAGACATCTGGTTTTGACTATAGGGATGCAGTCAAAGGCCTTTCGCACATCCCAAACGACGCCATCTACCGTGTGCTTCAGAGCATAGTGGGTGCAGGACAGTGGTTTGGCTGTGAATTAGTTTATGATGAGGCGAACTATCGCTTCATCTATCGCATTCTGTCTCCTCACTGGAGCGCGGTGGCTTGTACAGTCAAATTGCCTGTCTGGGCTAGACACGCACGGCGTAGTCCCCATGGCGTTAATAGTTCAATCAGAAGATGCAGTAGAAACCGTACTAATTCGGTTAGTGGCAAAGCTTGTCTTAGAAGTTGGCTTCCCGCAAGTTTAAATGTTACTTCATTCGTCCTTCAAGTTGAGTAAAAGTGAGCGAGCACGCCAGGATTCGAACCTGGAATCTTCTGATCCGTAGTCAGACGC